TTTTAAAATAACTAGAAAAAAAAAATTTTCCACTCATTTCTGGTTTATTATTTCATTTTTTTTTTAGTATCTTTAATGTTAAGGTAATTAATTTTACTTTTTTAATGATTAAATTTTTCAATTGATAAATTTTTGCTGTGTAATATAAAATAAAGAAGTAGAATAGGTTGATTTTGCATTCCAACATTGATTATTACTACTGTTACAACAATTTGCAATATGTACTGGACATTGACGAATGACCTTATATCAACAAAATGTTTGGAATGTCCATTCATCTATCAATCCTATTTATCTTTCCAAATTGCGATGTAATCTAATTTTGCTATCAAAACAATTTTTTAAAAAAGAAAATAAAAATAAAAGAAAAAAAAGTGAAAAAAAAGCAACAAAAATGGAAATTTTAGTTTAAGAAATGAAACATTTTAAATGGAAAAATTTTAAATCGAAAATAAAATTTTTAAAAAATTTTTTTTCAATAATTTTGAAGTCATCGGAAATTATTCATTTCAAAATATTGTATTACTATGTATTTACGATGTCAATGTAATTTAAAAAAAAACGTAAAAAAAAATAAAAATTAAAAATAAAAATCGAAATATTGAAAAAGAAAAGTTATTGTATTATAACGAAACATTATTACAATAACAATAAATTTTTTGCAAAATGAAAACTTCAGTCATTTCAAATTTAAACGAATAAAGTAATTTTGTTTATTCGGGAGAAGAAAAAAGAAAAAAAAGGAAATAATGATATTTAAAGGTGGAAAAAATTAGTTTTATTAAAATTTAAAAAATTTTTTTCATTAAAATTCTAAAACAATTTTTGTTAATTGTTTTTCAAAAAAAAAAAGACAATTGTTTAAGGCGGCACATATCATTGAGTGACAGACAACATAATTATACAACCATTAATTACTTAATTTATTATAAAATTAAAAAGTTTATTACAAATACCTTATTTGTGTAATCGATAAAATTTCTTGTAATAAACAAATAAACTAAAATTATTTAAATCCCAAGCATTTCTATTTAAACTTCAATTATTTAAGCTTTTTAAAAATTGTATAGTTCAAATTTTTGAAAGGAAATATGAAAATTTCTAGATTATTTTAGCATTCCATTTAAAAAATATTTGAATCTTCTTTTTTTTTTTTGCTTTTATTACAGACTTATTATCAAATGATAGCTTCAATTAATATTTTCCACCTTTAAAAATCTGATCATTTTCTCTTTTTTTTTTTTGTTTTAGGAAATATTATTATTATTACTATATGAGATGAAATGTGATCAGAATTGAATCATTTTAAGATCACTGATAATCGTAAGAATTAATAAATTTGTTAGATTATCAGTTAAATGTTTATTACAAATAGAAAAATCTTTCTTATATTTTATCAAAAAAAAAAAACGGTAAGATCTGAAAAAATTCCAGAAGATAGGAAAATAATATAAACCTTGCATTTGGCACTTTGAAGACAAGTAGACGATGCAATGACACAAAGTGTCGCATCCGATGATAAAACAGCTAATCGGCCAATCTAAAAAAAAAAAAAAAAAAAAAAAAATTTTACTATATTAACTTAACTATATAGCCTATTTATTTAATTAGAAAATTCTTTTTTTTTTTAAATTATTCAATTAGATTTTTTTTTCCATCTTTCAAACTTTTTCGCCAATTTTTTTTTTTGGATTTTTAGATTTTATAAATGCGTCGTTGAAATTTAAATAGAAAACTTCATATAACATTTGAATAATTCCAATTAATAGGAAAATAAAAAGGAAAAGTTTCTACACATCATATCCAATAATTAAAGTATATTTTAGTTGGAAACACATTGCCATTTTATTGGTGAAATTACAATCAATAAAAAAGCTAAACAAAACTATTAGATTTAGCGTCATTTATTTATTTTTTTTTTTTAAATTCAATTTCAAATTTTTTCCAGAGAATGAAAATTGATTTTTTATATTTGATTTCTGTAAGATATTTATCTAACTTATCTTTGATGTAATTTTTTTTTTTTTTATTCAAAAACAAAAGTTGCTACTTATCTTTGGAAAAACAAAAAATACCGTTGAATTAAGAAGAGCTCGAAAGCAAAGCAATATAGCAGTTGCATGTTGTTCCAATCCGGATCGTCGTGAACATTCGCTCAATAAATTTTTCAAATGTTCATTACCATCTAATTTTACGAAATTTTCCACATAACTACAATACTTTGATCAAATTTAATAAGTAAAAAAAAAACAAAAACAAAAAAAAAAAGCAGAATCAGAATCTCTTTGTAAATTATCAAATAAATTTAAAGCATTTATTAAAACATATTCCCAGAATACATCATAATTTTGTCTGTAAAGACTTTTCTTCTTTTTTTTAAATTAATAAATTATTAATGAATTAGTAGTTTTAATCTATTGTACTAGCATATATCCATCTAAATGGATATATGCCTTTTCGAAGCTTCCCACTAGCTTCCTTCTTTTCATCACCGGTTAGACTTTCGTAATAATCAAAAATTTTCTTTTTTTTTAATTTAAAATTAATTTAAAAATTTCTATATAACAATTAACATTAATTTTATAGAATGTTTAATACCTGAAATTAATTTTAATAAATTTGAAAACTTAGAAAAAGTTTTTCGAAAAACTTCAAATCTATATTATAATTGCTTGCTTGTTAATATTAATTTCATTGAATACTTATAAAACGTTTAATATTTCAAATTAATTTTAATTTGAAATCAATAAATGATTGATTTACCTGTGTGATTGTGTTCTTAGCGAAATAAATAATGCTTCTAGGATATGAAGATTATTATCATTATCTAATAAATTATGCTCTTGAATCATTTCCAAAAATTTCTCTGCTATTTTGCAATCACCTATACCATACCTTTCCTATAATCAAAATTTAAAATGTGAAATTAATAAATTTAAGATTTATTTGTAAAATAATATAAAAATTGATAGCGAAGTTTCATGCAATACAAATACGATTTACCTTAGTTATTTAGTATTAATATTTCAAGTTCCAATTAAACATTCATGTCAAAGTATCATCTCATCTATTTTAATTATGTAAAGTATGATGATAAAATGATTTGTAGGATTGATATTTCATATCAATTTGATCGTTTATCACTTACTACTTTTTTTATCAATTATCACTTAACAAATTAGACATATTTATTCAAAAATTTAAGTGCTACTTACTCGTATAGCACTTTGTTCCGTAAGCATTAAGCATTTCTTTTCAATTGGTTGATCAAGTAATAATTTTTGATTTTCAGGTGATAAATCCAATTCTGCCTGAATAACTATAATCTAATGAATTGAAAGTAATACAATTAAGTTAACATATATAAATCATATTCACAAATTTCTCAAAAATTTACCGGAATATTCAAAGAAACGAGACAAATATTGTAATTTTAAAATAAAATAATATGAATTAAAAATAAAAATTTTGAACATTTCTGAATTTTATTCCTATTTTTAATTTTTAATTTAT